AGAAGACCATGGCGCACCAGCCCTGTGGCTCCGGGGACAGCGCCGCCCGCCGCCCGCCGGGCCGGGGGAGCAGGGCGCCCTGCGGGGACGGGACCGCCGGGCCGCGGGGCCTCCTGCTGTGGGTTCAGGTGCTCGGGAAGGGGCTCAGCGCCGGTGCGAGCCAGGATGCCGTGCCGCCCCCGGCCCTGGCCCAGCACCTGCCGGGCGGGGGCGCCCAGGGCCCTGAGGGGTGAGCCCGGCTCCGGCCTCACAGGGCCCCAGGGAGCCGCTGTACCCGCCCTTCAGGCCGACCCCAAAGGAAATGGACGCTGCCTTTGTCATCGCCCCCACCGCTGAGGGACCAGGGGTGCCCAGGGAAGGAGCGGCTGCTTCTCCTGGGGTGTGTGTGAGTGTGTGTGTGCGTGAGTGTGCGTGTGCGTGTGTCTGTGAGTACGTGTGTGCATGTGTGTGTGTTCGCGCGAGTGTGTGTGAGTGTGTATCTGTCTCTGTGTGTGAGTACGTGTGTGTGCATGTGTGTGTTCGCATGAGTGTGTGTGAGAGTGTGTGTGCGTGTGTCTCTGTGTGAGTACGTGTGTGCATGTGTGTGTTCGCACGAGTGTGTATGTGTGTGTTAAAGTGTGTGTGTGATAGAGTGTGTGTGTGAGTACGTGTGTGTGTGTGTGTGTGTGTGTGTGTGTTTAGGAAGAGGTGTGCATACCAGGTCCAATGCCTTCTTTCTGGTTTGCCGCAGTCCCCACCGCTCCCTATTACTGCACCAAGTTCACGGCCATCTCATTTGTTGAAAGAACTTGACTTTGTGATCCCCCGAGAGACCCAAGCCTCACAGCGCCCCTTCCACCCCTGTTTAAAAGCCGCTCTTTGGAACACATTTAATTCTGGTTATTTACCATCTCGGAGAAAATCAAGCCTCTTTTCTTTCTGCCAAGTATTGCTGATCTCTAATGACCCTTTATTCTAATTCTGGAACAAATGGGTTTAGATCTTCCCATTTTTTTAATTTGAGGAGCCCCCACCCCCCCTTCTCCAGATAAGCATGCCCTGTTCACGTCACGCCCTCTGTGGAGGAGTTATTTAGGGATCTATGAATGAGATTAAAGCAACTCCACCAAAATCTCCACCCGGTCCGGTTTCCCAGGATGAGGGGAGGGGAGGGCAGGGGAGGGGAGGGGAGGGGAGGGGAGGGGACCCCCCCCCCCAGTGTCCAGGGTGGAGCTGAGCTGGTGAGGACCGCCTGTGGCCCCCGGGCTGGAGCAAACTCCTCCGCTGTCCTGCTCCCTGTCCTCAGGTGGGGTGGGGGCAGGGCGCACACCTGATTCTACAACTGAAATACGGGTGCAGCCGCTGCCCTCACCGACGCCAGGAGGAGAGGCCCAAACTGCGGACACTTACCTTCGCTGTGGGGATCCAGGTGCCGCACGGTGGGGTCTGAGAGCACCCCTCCCTGTTCTCAGGGTCCTCCTCGGTGGGTCTCCCCTCGGTGGGGGGAAAGCAGAGCGATCGCAGCTGCTTCCTCTCCCAGCAGAGGGCCCACCGCTCACCTGCCTCCAGTCCTCTCTGATGAGCGCCCTGAGCCGCACCTGCACAGCCGCGCCCAGGGAACTGGCTCTGACCCTGACCGGGACGGCAGCAGCCGGCGAGCACGTGCTGCTGTGGTCTGACTGCTCCCTCGGCCCCTGTCCCAGGAGCCCCACCCCCAGGGGAGCCCCTCACGCCCCTCACACCCCTCACAGCTGTCTGCCACCAGCACGCTGGCCTCACCCTCCTCCGGGCCCCTGCCTGAGACGGTCCCAGGAGGACTGGGAGGGCCAGAGGGAGTCTCCTCTCGCAGAGAGAGCGGCCTGGCTGCTGCTGTGCCTCTGGGGCTGGGGGCCTTCTCTTCTTCCTGGGCCTGGGAGCCACAGCTTCTGGGACATTCTTAACCAAGTCCCCCTGTGTGCAAACCCGCCCCCCTGTGTGCAGACCCGTCCCCCTGTGTGCAGACCCGTCCCCCTGTGTGCAGACCCGTCCGCCTGTGTGCAAACCCGCCCCCCCTGTGTGCAAACCCGACCCCCTGTGTGCAGACCCGTCCCCCTGTGTGCAGACCCGTCCCTCTGTGTGCAGACCCGTCCGCCTGTGTGCAAACCCGCCCCCCCTGTGTGCAAACCCGACCCCCTGTGTGCAGACCCGTCCCCCTGTGTGCAGACCCGTCCCCCTGTGTGCAGACCCATCCCTCTGTATGCAGACCCGTCCCCCTGTGTGCAAACCCGTCCCCCTGTGTGCAGACCCGTCCCCCTGTGTGCAGACCCGTCCCCCTGTGTGCAGACCCGTCCCCCTGTGTGCAGACCCCCCTGTATGTAGACCCGTCCCCCTGTGTGCAGACCCGTCCGCCTGTGTGCAGACCCTCCCCCTGTGTGCAGACCCGTCCGCCTGTGTGCAGACCCTCCCCCTGTGTGCAGACCCGTCCCCCTGTGTGCAGACCCGTCCGCCTGTGTGCAGACCCTCCCCCTGTGTGCAGACCCGTCCCCCTGTGTGCAGACCCGTCCGCCTGTGTGCAGACCCGTCCCCCTGTGTGCAGACCCGTCCGCCTGTGTGCAGACCCGTCCCCCTGTGTGCAGACCCGTCCCTCTGTGTGCAGACCCATCCCCCTGTGTGCAGACCCTCCCCTCTGTGTGTAAACCCGTCCCTCTGTGTGCAGACCTGTCCCTCTGTGTGCAAACTCGTCCTCCAGGAATGAGCGACAGAGAACCAGAGTCTCTCCCCAGCACACAGGCTCTGTGGGCTCGGCTGCAGCTGGTGCCAGGCCGGGAGGCAGCTGCTTGGGAGTCGCTCTCTCCGTGGAGGAGGGGATGGAGGGGTGCAGGGTCCGGCACCGATGCTGGCCCGGGTGAGGGAGGGGAACCACACAGCAGTGGGAACCGGGTCACAGGCTGTGGGTGGGAGCAGGCCGCGGGGTGGTGTCTCTGGTCCGCAGAGACTGCTCTGGTGTGGAGCTGGATGTGGAGACGCCTGGAGCTGCTGTGATGAGACAGTTTGAGGTCAGGAGCCTGAGCGGCGGGAGATGCAGTCTGAGGAGACGCAGTCTGAGGCGGCTGCTGAGGAGGAAGCGTGACCTGCATTCTCCCTGCAGCTCCCGGGCGGGCGGGAGGGGCGGGGGAGCGGGCAGTGGGGCCGGGCAGGCCCTGAGACGGCACCCAGTGGCCGGATGACTGTGCAGACCCGGGTGGACCCTGGCAGGCCCAGCCTGCGGGGGCCTTTCGCTCCGTGGGGAGCAGAGCTGACCCCCAGGCCACACATCCGGGCCGTGAGAAGCCGGGTTTGAGGGGGAGCCTGGGACTCCCTGCACCTGCTCGGTGCCCGCGCTTCGGAGACAGGCTCCGCGCTGCAAAGGGCACGCTCGCCCTCTGGTGGCCAAACGGTGACATGACGCCGGCGGCCTTGGTGCGGGGCCAGGCGCGGGGCTGGGGTGAAGGCTGTGGCTTGCGCCTCTGGAAGCTCATTTCTAAGCGGGGCCACCCGCTCCCCTCGCGTGGGGATGGGACGTGTCACCCACCCTCAGAGGCAGCAGCCGGGTCCTCCGAGGTTCCGGGCGCAGCTCTGAGGCCTCAGGAGTCTCCGGTTTGTACCGAGCCCGATGTCAGAACGCCCCTCGGGAGGCCGGGGCCGGGTCTTGGGGACTGCCTGGAAGCACGTTTAATATCCATGTTGCACCCCTTAAGCCTGCGGGCGTCTGAGACCAGCCTGGAGGGCTCCCCCGGAACCCGCCTTCGGCAGCTGCAGCCTCCGCTCCAGAGCCAGGCCCCTCGGGGAGGCCGGCTCCCTGTCCGCGTGGCAGGGACAGCGGGGAGGCCCGCCTGCTGTGAGGTCTCCCCACGGGTGCGGGGTGTCGGGGCCCAGCACCCCAGTCAGCCAGGCCCCCGCCAAACAGCTTACCCAGGCCCCGTCTCCACGGTCGTCCCCACCCACAGCCCTGTCGCAGCTTCGCTCCAGGGGCTGGTCCCCCTGCCCTCCTCTTCCCTCCTGGTGCACGTGACAGACCGCGTGCGTGGCTCCTAAGACCGCCCTCACCTCGCTGTGCGGCCCTCGGCCCTTCAGGAACAGGTGCTGGTGGGAGGGACCCACACACCCAGGAGGAGCAGCCGGAGTCTGGAAGGGCAGGGTCCCTCGGGGTGACAGGGCAGGGCCCTGCCTCGGAGCCAGGAGCGGCCTCTCAGCCTCTCAGAAAGTGCTGCGGGGGCGGGGGGGGAGTAGCCGGCACCTGCGGCATTTGGGGGCCCTGAGAGCTTCAGGGGGTCCTGTCCGACAGCTCCTGACTCGGTTTCCCTCCTCCTGGGGCCCTCTTCGTTGTCTTCCTCAGGGAACTCGGGGTGCTGGGCTGGTTGGTAGCACTGGGCGGACTGGGAGGAGGCGGGCCCCATGCTGAGTGGCGGCAGGGACTCCCTGGGCTGAAGCGTTCCTGTAATGTTTGCCCAAACCCGACTTTCCCCAAAGCTCCGGGCGGTGTGGCTCCACTAGGAGCTGAGGGGGGAGAGACCCGGGGCCCTCCCTGTGCCCCCCTGAAAACCAAGTGGCAGGAGAACAATTTCACATGCCTAGGACATGGGATGCCTTCCTAGTGCCTGGGGGAGAGAAAGGGTGTGCCGGGGAGACACACGCGTGTGCGGGGAGGCAGGCGTGTGCGGGGAGGGGCAGGCGTGTGCGGGGAGACACGCGTGTGCAGGGAGGGGCAGGCGTGTGCAGGGAGACACGCGCGTGTGCGGGGAGACACGCGTGTGCGGGGGGAGGCAGGCGTGTGCGGGGGGCCGATGTGTGCAGGGAGGGGCAGGCGTGTGCAGGGAGATACACGTGTGTGCGGGGAGGGGCAGGCGTGTGCGGGGAGACACACGTGTGTGCGGGGGGAGGCAGACGTGTGCGGGGAGGGATAGGCGTGTGCGGGGAGACACACGTGTGCGGGGGGAGGCAGACGTGTGCGGGGAGACACGCGTGTGCGGGGAGGACGGACGCCCTGACTGGCTGCGTTGCAGGTGTCCCCGTGCGAGCGCTGCCGCTGCGAGGCCAGCGGGGAGGTGCTGTGCTCCGTGTCCGAGTGCCCGCAGACCGAGTGCGTGGACCCCGTGTACGAGCCTGACCAGTGCTGCCCCATCTGCAAGAACGGTAGGTGGACGCGTGTCCACAGCGCGCACGTCCGCGCGGGCTCTCATTCCCGCGTGAGGGCGGGCGGCGCGAGGGCCCGTGTCCGCACCGGCGCACAGCTCCGTGCCACCAGCCCGCGCCGGGACCGGCTCGGCCGGAGGGAGGGGTTCTGTGTTTTGTTGTTGGGAGCGAGGTCGTGGCTGCTGCCCTGACAGCGAACCCAGAGGCTCTGCCTGGCCTGAGAGGAGAGCCTGCGCGGAGTGAAGCCGGTGTGGGTGCCCGTCAGACCCGCAGGAGGAGGACTGTGCTGTTTAAAGCTAGATCCAGGAAGGATGACAGCCCTGGCCGGTGTGGCTCAGTGGTTGGGCATCGCCCTGTGCACCCAAAGGCCTGTTTCATTCCATCAGGACATAGGCCTGGGTTGCAGGCCCGATCCCTGCCCAGCAGGAGGCATGCAGGAGGCAGCTGATGGATGTTTCTCTCTCTCCCAGCCTCTCTCTAAAATCAATAAAACACATTTTTAAAAAGGAGGATTACAGGTTACAGAAGGACTGGAATTGAAAGGTTTGAGCCAATGATATCAAAACAACAGCAGCTCCACCTTCAGGACCACAGTCGGAGCCAGGCCTCGTGTGTCCAATCCCATACCTACCACCACATTTGTCGGGGGATATTCCCAGCTCTGCCATGCTTCCCGCTCTCTCTGGCTTCCTTCTGACCTGGAAAGGGAATCGGTGTTTGGAATTCGTGGTAAAATTTCTGCTTGAAACGTGAAAGCAGTTCCTGTGAGAACTGAGCGCTTTGCAGGAATTGAGTGGGATTGGTCACTAATCCACGCCAGCTGTCCACGCCGCTCCCACGTGGGATGCTTCCACCAAAGCACAGTGACACGTCTGACAGCTCACAGGCCACTGGGTATCAACAGCGGCGGTTCTGTGCTAGCAGCTCAGCGGCCTGGGCTCAGGGGGAGGGAGGCTGGGCCGGTGACCGCCGTGGTGACCTGGCCGGGGACCGCCGTGGTGACCTGGCCGGTGGCCGCCGTGGTGACCTGGCCGGTGACCGCCGTGGTGACCTCGCCGGTGGCCGTTGTGGTGACCTGGCCGGTGACCGCCGTGGTGACCTGGCCGGTGACCGCCGTGGTGACCTGGCCGGTGACCGCCGTGGTGACCTGGCCGGTGACCGCCGTGGTGACCTCGCCGGTGGCCGTTGTGGTGACCTGGCCGGTGACCGCCGTGGTGACCTGGCCGGTGACCGCCGTGGTGACCTGGCCGGTGACCGCCGTGGTGACCTGGCCGGTGACCGTTGTGGTGGCCTGGCCGGTGGCCGTTGGGGTGGCCTGGCCGGTGACCACCGTGGTGACCTGGCCGGTGACCACCGTGGTGACCTGGCCGGTGACCGCCGTGGTGACCTGGCCGGTGACCGTTGTGGTGGCCTGGCCGGTGACCGTTGTGGTGACCTGGCCGGTGACCGCCGTGGTGACCTGGCCTGGCCCTCACGCCGACGGACCTGCAGGTTAAACGCTTCCTCCAGACGCGGGAGCTGCCGCTCACCGCAAGCTGCCGGAGTCGCTCACATCGCAGCACCAACGCTCGGGCCAGAAAGCCTGGGACGGACATAAATGGCCACAAGCGTACGCGACGTGGGCGTCCCTCGTGGCGTGCGGCTCCCTCTCGTGGCTCTCCTGGTGACGTGGACTGGAGCGCAGCCTGTCCCCCCGCTGGGCGTCCGCCTCTCAGGCAGTGGGCTCCCAGGGACCGGGGCCCAGAGAGCGTTACCACGGGTTCTTCCGAGCTGCCAGTGCCCACAGCAATTCAACTAACGCTGGAGGGAAAGGGGATCTGGAGGGCCTGAGCCTGCTCCCAGGAGGCAGACACCTGTGTGTCTCCTCCCAGCCCCGCAGCAGGAGGAGCCTGTGCAGTCAGCACTTTCCAGAGCACAGCAGGGTGTGTGTGCGTGTGCACGCGTGTGTGTGTGTGTGTGTGTGTGTGCATGTGTGTGTGGGGGGGTCCTTGACGTCCAGATAAAACTCACACTGTCGTGTCCCCTCAATTTGTCTTAGCTTCTTGACAACAAGCTTCCCGGTGCCCGTGAAGCTTCCCTCAGCCCCGTGGCCAGCCCCGGGCGCTCCATGAGCAGCAGGACTGAAGGTGGCAGGACACCTGGCCCAGCCCAGGGCGAGCCCTCTCTCCCAGTGTCACTCGGAAGGACGTTTCCATAATTGCCACATCCTGTGATCAGGGCTGTCCCGTGAGCAGGGCCGTCCTGTGAGCAGGGCCGTCCTGTGAGCAGGGCTGTCCCGTGAGCAGGGCTGTTCTGTGAGCAGGGCTATTCCGTGAGCAGGCTGCCCCGTGACCTGAAATTCCAATTTGATGTTGGGTTTTGTTGGCCTGGGGCGGACATCCCGGCTGACTTGGTGCAGTGATTGGGAGGTTCCGGTGTCCTCTATTCTTTCTTCCCAGCGGCTAATGCATTCCAGGAGGGATGCAGTGGGAATACAATCGCCCAATTACATGGAGAATGAACCCGGCAGAGAGTCCATCACACAGGAAGAACCCCATGCCAGAAGCAGACCAGAGCTGAGCGGGGGACCCAATTTTGTCCGTGTGCCCAGCACAGTCAGGGAGCAGGCTGAGATCCCACCGCTTTGCTGGTCCTACTAAGTGTGGAGTCTGCACTGTGTGCTGAAGCAGCGACAGAAAATACGCCGGGTCTCTGGTCTCCGGGCCGATGGAGCTGAGGCCCACGAATGCCTCCTGTTGCAAATGCCGTGACTGGGACATGTGTGCGTGGACGGACGGTCGGCTTTGCTTTGGAAATGTGGCCTCGTTTGAAAGAAACACAAAGTGAAGGCCCTTAGGTTCCAGGGATGGACCCGGGTAACGCTGGGCCGTTGGCCGCAGACCCGCCCCGGCGAGGGCCCAGGGGCTGTACGACGGTCCCTCGTGGGGACCAGGGACAGGAAGTCACTGTCCACGTCGCTGAGCCTGAAGGTCAGCAGAGTCCCGGCGCCAGGACAGCCGGTTAGGAAGTGTAAGAAGCCAGCGACGGAGTGCTTATTGCCACGGAAGGACAGGTGCAAACTGCCTGCATATTCTTACTCCCTTTTCCACGCTCAGTTTGTTATAATGAGCATTCATATTTCAATCGAAGAAACACCAAGTGGAAGCTTTTACCACGGCGTGACGGCCGAACTCCTTCCCTAAGAGATCAAAGGTCAGCTCAGCGCTTCGGAGGGAAACACAGCTCCTGGTTGCCCCTCCCTGGGGCGGGGAGGGAACTCGGCCCTGGCCGCGGGCTCCGTTGGTTGGAGCGCTGTCCCAGGAACCAAAAGCTGTGGGTTCCGCCCCGGGCAGAGCCCTGCAGGAGGCACCCAATGGATGTTTCTCTCTCTCTCTCTCCTTCCCTCTCCCATTGCAATAAGAACATTAACTGGGGGCTTGTAGGCGACAAGGACTAGAAGGCAGAGAACGGGACTTGGTTTTCATTCTGATTTTATCCAAAGTCTGGAAGGCTGTGCCCCGACTAATCCAATACGGCACCAAGCCATCAGACTTAATGTGGCTGGGAGATTTTATCCGGATAACTCAGGAATTGTATTCACGCCTATAAAACCAAACTGTTAACAAAAGATTGAAGAAGAATACATCAAGAGATAAATGTGTGGGTTGAGGGTTTTCATTAATGTTTTTACCCTTCAAGTAATGCTTTTGTCTACAGCTTTTATTCAAACCCTGTTTAAAAACTATGATTACATGTGCACAGAATTTAAGCAAATATTTTTGGGCCTGGCAAAATCTTCCCGGATTTTGATATGCAAAAGATATATGTATATATACACTCTGAGAAAGAAACCACTCTTTATATATGTAGTTTATTCTTCCAGAGAGTATGTAGGTCACAGGTTCATACTCCCCGTGTTCTGCCCTTGAACAACGCTTGGAATCCATGAGAACTTGTGCACAAGATATTGCTAAAGAATACAGCCGACAATGACTGGAATTCTCAGCCTGTGAAGTCCGGGCACCTGCTTTGTGTGACCTGAGAAAGTGGCTTTTCAGAGGATGACATGAGGCAGCTACTGAAGTGAGCTGACAACCTTAACAGCAATGACCCAGTTCTTTTCAGACGTTTTGGCTAAACGTGTTCCGTGGAGACGGGGCCTCCAGGCGGGAATCGCTCTGCGGTCCTCGCTGAGGGCCCGTGAGCTCCGGGCGGTGACGGTGTCTGACCGCCTGGCGTAATGGGACCTGATGACTGGAGACATTCTCGGGTTCCTTGCTGGAAATGTGTCCTTCTTTTCCAAAAACTATGACGACGTGCAGGGATGCTGGGCTGTTCCCCTCACGGCGTGGACCCTGTGCCGGCTCCTGCCTCCTCCTGCCGCGGCCGCCCGGGCGGCTGGTGAACAGGCGGCGGCTCTGTGGTCTGTTCTCACGTGGCTCGTGGTGGACAGACGTTTCTCTGAACACTGAGTGCGAACTGTCAGAACCGCCATCGTGTTCTAGAACAGCGGTCACCGGCGGTGGCTGGAGCCTGGCTCGCGGGCCGCGGCCGGAGGAAATTCGCGAGGAAAGCCTCCAGCGCAGGGCTCCCAGAGCAGGGCACCCAGAGCAGGGCACCCAGAGCAGGACTCCCCAGCATGGGGCACCCAGAGCGGGGCACCCAGAGCGGGTCACCCAGAGCGGGTCACCCAGAGTGGGGCTCCCAGCGTGGGGCACCCAGAGCGGGTCACCCAGAGCGGGTCACCCAGAGTGGGGCTCCCAGCGCGGGGCACCCAGAGCGGGGCACCCAGAGCGGGGCTCCCAGAGCGAGGCTCCCCAGCGCGGGGCACCCAGAGCGGGGCACCCAGAGCGGGGCTCCCAGAGCGAGGCTCCCAGAACAGGGCACCCAGAGCAGGGCTCCCCAGCGCGGGGCACCCAGAGCGGGGCTCCCAGAGCGGGGCACCCAGAGCGGGGCACCCAGAGCGGGGCTCCCAGAGCGGGGCTCCCAGAGCAGGGCTCCCCAGAGCGGGGCACCCAGAGCGGGGCACCCAGAGTGGGGCACCCAGAGCGGGGCACCCAGGGCGGGGCTCCCAGCGCGGGGCTCCCAGAGTGGGGCTCCCCAGTGCGGGGCACCCAGAGCGGGGCACCCAGAGTGGGGCACCCAGAGCGGGGCACCCAGGGCGGGGCTCCCAGAGCTGGGCACCCAGGGTGGGGCTCCCCAGCGCGGGACACCCAGGGCGGGGCTCCCAGAGCAGGAAGGAGCCCTGTTATTTCATGAGTCTTGACGCTTTGTCCTATTTAAGAGCCTCTTCCTCCTCACGATTGTTTTTTCTAAGATTATTTGGAATTAATTAACTCACATGCTGCAGGCTCGGCTGATGGGTAAGGCCTGGAGGGTGATCTGTGAGTGAGCACAGAGCTGCCCGTCACCTGGACGGGTTCTAAGTCACGTTTGAGGCCGGTCAGGAGGAGAGTGGTGTTCCCTTTGCTCAGGATTCCCTGTCCCTCGTAAAAGAGCGAACGGACGTGGCCTGGGGTGAACCCACCGCGTGTTCCCGTGTGCGCACGCTACACACGTGTCTCTGTGTTTCAGGCCCCAACTGCTTCGCAGAGACCGCCGTGATCCCCGCGGGGCGCGAGGTGAAGACGGACGAGTGCACCGTCTGCCACTGCACGTACGAGGAGGGCACGTGGCGGGTGGAGCGCCAGGCCATGTGCACGCGGCATGAGTGCCGGCAGCGGTAGGCCGGCCGGACGCCGCCCCTCCGGACGCCTCCCCGACGGAACATTCCGGAGGACTCCGGAAGTGCCGCCCACAAGGAGACTTCCAACGAGGAGCAATGGGGAACTGTCGGTACTTTTTGCTTTTCTTGGTAACAGTGACTGCAAGAGAAGGAAGTGGATATATTTCAAAACATCACTGAGAACTTTGGGCGTGAAGCCCTCTCTCAATAAACGTGCTATTTTCAGAGCAAGTACAGGACAGCTCAGTATTCTCTGTGCGATGTATTTCTCTCCCCTGTCAGAGCTCACCGGTGTTTTCTATAGAAACAGATTAAAGAGCTGTGTTGTCCACCGGCCACACTGTGCACCTTTTCCTTTCACGTGACATTGCTGGGGGCTGGTCCTCCTTCACACCTCGGAACGCTGTCCCCGCGAACAGGTCCTGACATGATGGGGCTGGTTCCTCCTGGGGCCCTGCCCACATTGTTTCACTGCAGAGGCACATCTAGTGTCCTTAGGAGATCCAGTGTGAGTCACAGAATACAATGATCCCATTCTGTGCCTTATTGCTGCTGTCACCTCCAGGCTCTGTCGCTGGCAAATGCAGGTGTCAGGTAACTAACGGGCACTGTTTCTGTTCATCTGAAGCACCCCTGCTAGGTGGACACATAACATACATGCTTCATGTTCACTGACATCACTTTGTCTCCTCGTCATGAATTTAAATTGTGCCCTAGACCAAGGAGCAGGCTGAGCTGGACAACTTGCTTCATGGTTCCATCCAGCTGAAGCAAGCAGTAAAAGAGGGACTCCCTTGACTGACTGGAGGGGAGGTAAGGCAAATGGCTTGATTGAGTCTTTGCCTGAAGTCTGAATGGACACAGGAACCCTACCACTCCATTCAGTGGACTCACGCTTCTCCTCAGAATGACCACAGCTTTGGCCCTAAATTATGACCACTCAAAATTTCAAAGATAAAGCATATTATCAAAGCTGAGAAGGCACCCAGGCCTATGATGCAAGCTGAACACAAAGGGCAGAAACCAAGAACAACAGGGACAGAGTTATAGGGTCTCCAAAGAGTGGCATGATCAGACTCCATGCAAGATAACAATGCTGTGCTCAAGAAGGTACAGGATAAAAATGCAAATCTCTTCAGTGTCTTAGAAACCCAACATGCCAATCAAATGAAAAATATATATATATGAGAATTTGTAACTGAACAATAGAATAACTAAGATTAAAGATTCAGTTGAATGAGTTTAACAACATATTAGTCAGAGTTTAAGAGGAAATGGTGAACTTGAAGACAGAGCACCAACAAAAAGCATATGCATAAAATGCATGAGGAAACACAAGAGAGTAAAGCTTTTAAAGCTACAGAAGGTGAGACGGGAGAGAATGGAGCAGAAGTAACACTCAACAGGTAATGGCTGGTAGTTCCCTGAAGGCGATGACCCCTGTGCAGTGAAGGGTTCCAGAGCAGCAGCACTACAGTGAAACAAGGGAAATCAAAACCCTACAAGCAGCAGAAGACAAGCACAGATTCCATTTACAAACAAACAATTGTAATGGCATGGTATCCAAAGGAACCATGAAATTCTGAAGACAGTTGGATATTTTCAATGTAAAGAAGAAAAATAACTGCTAATTTAGAATTCTGGAAACAGAAATAGCAACTGTAGATCACTACAGTACCCCCAGGTGTCCCATCAAGTCTAATGTGGAGGCTTCCATCGTTTTTACAGTGTGGAAGTCATAGTACAGTTTTTCTCTCCTGGCCTCTTTCTTACACATCTGTTGTTTAGATGTATTTTAATTCTGTGTATTTTAAATCTGACAAGTTCTTCACTATTATTTTTCTAATAGCTACTATTGATTTAGCTATATCCCCATTTTTGTGATTTAATTGATTCCTTCTTTCACGATTTATTGCAGATTAGTTTCTTCTGCCTACAGAATAGTTTTTGGTATATTTTGAAATGAATTTCTAGTAGTGGTAGTATTTTTCAGTTATTACTCAATTGAAAATATCTTTATGTCGACTGCATTCTTTAAAGGGTGAGCTTATAAAATAGTGAAGAACCAATAATTAGATATTGATAAGGCTGTATGCTACAATTTATAGGGTAATATTTTTTACATTTAACTGGTGGAATGAAAAGGAGACAAAATAATAAAAGCTATAGAAGACCTAAATATTATATATTATAATTAACAAAGTTGACCTAGTGGACACATACATAATTCTTCTTGAAAAAAATATGGAATATATATTTTTTTAAAGTATACATGGAAAATTTATAAATACTTTATGCCGAGCCATATACATTATGAAGAACTGACATCATACAGAATGTAAATCCTGACACCAGTTCAGTTAGACTATTCGTCATGAGAAAAGCCAAACAAAAACTCTTCCTGTGTTGCAAATTAAGAAATAGAATTCTAAATGTCCCCTAGGGACAAAGGAGATGCTGCAATAAAAAACCATCACCCTGATGCACTCGACTGGGAACAGAACGAGAGAGAAGGCAGGAGCAGCCGTGTCCGGATGGGAGAGGAGGCGTCACTGCGGAAGCGTCATGTCCTGCTCGCGGTGGCAGCTGGAGGGCAGCGGGGGCCACCAGCCCCTCTGTCCTCGCAGAGGAAGACAGGCCTCATCAGAGCTGTGACACCTTCACTCTCTGCCATCACAGCGCCTCCTGCAGTGAGCGCTGCAGCCTCCCATCCGCTTTACCCCAGGACAGGCGCAAGGAACAGTGTACTCCTCCGTCCCCGTGTCCTGGCATGCAGGTTCCCCGGAAGGCTGGGCCCAGCCTTGTACCAGCACAGCCCCCTCCTTGGATGCTCTTGGTTAGTTTCACAGAAGCGCTCCTCCCTCACACAGTGCCCTGGGCTCGCCTTGTCCCAACTGCAGACACAGACATGCTTTGCTGCTCAGCATGGCGTCATTGGGAGAAGCCGCTCCTCCCGCCCTCCGCGCACCCCGCCCTGTCTGGGCCCATGAGTAGCTGCAGAGGCAGAACCGCCGCCCCAGCTGGGAAGTTCTGGGGCTTCACCAGGACCTCTTACACCCATCACCGCCGCCCACAGATACTGCCAATGAGGGCACGTGGCCGCGGCTGTTACTTGGCGATGGAGAGCATCGTGCCCAGGACAGCATCTCCCTTCTCAGCGATGCCACTCTGCGGTGCCCTCAGCATCTGACGGGCCCCCAGCCCCTGGGCCCAGGTGCTCCAGGACACGGGGTCTGTGTGTTACCGGTCCATTACCTAAGCGGAAGCCCACTGCCATGCCCATTTCCTGTCACAGGAGCTCCGGGCAGCAGCGATGTGGTGACAGACACAGCGACAGCGATAAAAAGCACTTGTGCTTCCCCAGACAGAACCTGGAGAGCGAACCACCTCCAGCTCCGGCGGAAAGGGTGCCGGCCACTCCCGGGGAGCCTGGATGGGCTGAGCGCCTGCTGCCCGCTCCCTGCCGGCTCCCTGGTGGGAACCGGGCACCCAGGAGGCCTGGTCAGAGCCCAGATGCCCATCCCCGTCCGCAGGACAAGGACGAGGAGCTGCCACGGCTGTCTCGTCCGCTGGCTGGCCAGGCCCTGCGCTGCTCGGCAGCTGCCCTGGCAGGCCTCCAGGTCTCATCACCGACTTGTTTACAAATGTCTGCGGCTCCAGGTGGGCCAGGCAGCCCGCATTCCCCGAGAGGCCTGCAAACTGCCAGGCCTCAGGCCAGGTTCAGGCTCAGACGCAAAGGTAAGATGAGTGTTGGCGGGAGACCCTCGTCCTCCTGGGCAGGAAGGCTGTCGGTTTCTATAGTCTGGGATAGGGGTGTCGAACTCAATCAGAGAAGGGGCCAAAATCTAAAATCCAGCCTAAATCGCGGGCCGAATCGTTTACTGAATAGTCATAAACTGTCATTGTGATGGAAACGCAGCGGAGTGCAGTGATGACAGCGCGGTGCGGGCCACATTGCAAGGCCTGGTGGGACGGATTTGGCCCGCGGGCCTTGTGTTTGACACATGTGGTCTGGGAGGTCCTAGTCTCTTCCCCAAGTAACGCCTCACCTCACCGCGAGCCATGCCTGCGATGGTGCAGGCAGGTGCTTCCGCCTGGCCCAGAAGTCTGCGCGGCCGGCCGGCATGGCGGGAGAAAGGCCTGCTTCCCTGGAAGCCGGAGGAAGCTTCCGGGTCTCAGGCCCCGACTTCATATTCCTCACCACGTGCAGTGAGAAGCAGCCGGCCCGGGCGCCCACACTCCCTCTCGGTGACCCCACCGCCTGCTGCGGGCACCAGCACCCGCCTGCCCGCCCGCCTGGAGCACGGGGTCTGGGCCACGGCGGCCGCTCAGCTAGGAAGCTGAGCACAGGGTTCTGCCGGCTCTCCTGTGTTTTCCTGGTGCCTGATCTTTACTCTTCTGTATTCTGCCATAGCTGCAGCTCTGCAGTGTGAGGGGAGGGCAGGTGGTGGTGCCTGCACCTTTCACAGCATCAGTCATGCAGTGAGAGTGGCAGCACGTTTGTGTTGCTTAAACTTTATTTTTATTGTCCATCCTCTTCCCCAGAGGCATTCTGGGGGAAAGAAATTGCTTGTTTCTCTTTGTCACCTCGCTGTGGAAGTTCACACCTTCATTTAGGCCACACAATGATTACTCCACTCTAAAATGTCAAGAAGGCAATTTAAAGGACTTTAAAATAAAAACATAAAGACTGCCACCCATTGTGCTGTTGGCACTAGACCTTATAAAGAGGCTAAACACTGCAATAATAAGACTAAGCCTTTTAAAAGAGGGACTTTGAACTGCGGAAGGTCAAACTAACAGCAATCAAATCCCATCTCTGCAGGAAGGGAATGAGGTGTGGGGGGAGGGGGGGTCTGGGCCCGAGGCGGTCGGCGGGTGCTCTGCCAGCCTGATGCGGTTTGTGGGGAGCGGTGACCCGGGGGTGTCCTGCACTCACAGGAGTGAGCACGGGTCCGGGATGCTCCGCTCACAAACACGGGACACGGCTGCTGCAAGTGAGACGAGGACACGGTTCTCTGGTAAAACCTGATACATTTAATTTGGCATAATATGATTTATTATGGGTTAATATTTCAAAACTACACGTCCGCGTGACATCCCGCGGCGCGGGGAGGCCTACAGGCAGGTCGTGGCCCCGAAGAGCAGGCTGCTGTTGCAGTGCAGGCAGTGCGTGCCGTCGCTGGGGTTGTAGTAGCCGGGGCTGCAGACCACTGCGGAGAGAACAGGGT